GTCCTAAGATAACCTTTCATTAATCATGAATTTATATAACTTCCGTCCAGGGGACGGATACTCCAGCTAGTACAGTAATAAAATATAAAACTAGGGATACACATTTGTCAAAAGATGTTTATAAATGTAAAATTTTTTTCCTAAACAGTTAATCATTGAAACCATTAGTTCTAACATTTGAGATAAAAATCATATTAGCTTTAGATATTTTCCCATTCCTCTTTATTTGCCTATTTCTGATTTCAAATCAGAGGTGTGTAAAAGTGATATTTCAGATCTATCCCTTATCTCCCATAAGTCACTATCCGATAATTCGAGAACTTTTGCTCAACATCATAACTAATCAAGCAAGAACACTATTTATGTATACAGTATTGTTACGACAGCGGAAGTCACGTGACTCTGGTAACACGTAATGAGTATCAAGAAAGATCGAGGAACCTGTCGAACGGCTTAGCGTTTGCTAGACTCGCACTTTTATAGTATATATATAAGATCGGCGAGAAGTGACGGCATACGTAGATATATGAATAATTGCAGATTAAAGAGATAGAGACGGACAATTGAGTCAAGCGCGGTAGTAAAGAGCGTGAATCGTTCGTTGTGAATTATAGCGCGTGTTTAAGTTAAAGTGACTGTGGAAATTAAGTGTATAGCAAAGCTGAATTGAAAAAGAATAAACTAGTTTTATTTAAGAAAGAACTTATATCGCTGAAGTTCTTCGGGAAGAATTTCTACGGAAAATTAACAAATGAACACAGACGTAACAGTATAAAACTTGAGAAGTTACTAATTACACGTCGAAGGCTGGCGAAGTTTTGTGAACCTGTGTCAGGCCTACCATTTATCATAATAGTTTTTGTTGTTGTTGTCGAACTTGTGCACCGAAAAACGTTAACCTTTTCATTTTTATTATTAAACACAGTAGCAGTATCTATTGGTAATAAATGACTAATTTTAATAAATTACATGTACAGAATTTTGGTATTATTAGAATTCAGATAAAGTTTAAGGTTATTCAGACATATCATATCATCGATAAATTTGCTTTAAAATTAAGACAAATTCACATATCGTTTTATTAAGAATAAAAACATAAAAATTATAATATGTAAACTACACATAATAGTTTTCTTAAAGGACCGTTAGATGCCAGGTGAATCGTAACTATTTGTACAATATAAAATGCTCAGCATCGAGACAAGTTTAACTACGTCAATTTGTAAGTTTGATTTAGAAGTTTCGAGTTGAGAAAGAATTTTCTAAATCGAGATAAAAAATACTATTAGCTTGGAAAGAAGGCCTGAAATAGTATTTAGCACCAGGCACATAAATTAGCAAGATTTGTAGCTGGTCATTCACACACACACAAAGAAAAAACGATTCCGGGTTCCAGGGGTTCTAAATCTAAGTTCTAGTTTGAACTCGGTGATTAAACTGGTCAACTCCAAGAACATCTGTATAAATGTTAATTCCATCTGATCAACTTCAGATGTAATTTTTTTAAACTATTAATGAGAGAGACAATTGCAAGTATGTCTGTAACATTAAATTTAATTGGGAATATCAGGTTTTTATTTTATCACTTTTGGGACCATGCGGAGATGCATGCAAATTTGCGGTTCCACATTTTGTATCTTGCAGTTTTTATTGGTGTTTTTTACAATTACTTATAAGGGAGCAACTTTCATGTCCTAAGAGAAAGATAACCTTTCATTAATAATGCTGTGATTGTGTTATAATTGATAGCAGTTTATAGTATTAATGCTACAATTACTGTATTATACTTATAGGTTGATCAGAATATTAATTTTGTACCAGTATTAGTTATTTACATGAAATGAAAAGTTTTAAGTTATATGAATAGAAAATTGAATATTTATTTAGGGATAATAGGTTTAACTTTGAGTGTCTAGAGCTGTTATAGCAGAGTCGCTCTTAGACAAAACCTATTTTTGATTACACTGTCTACATCAGTTATAAACTTAGTTGATGATGTAGTTAGCTCTGGTAATTTGAATGCTTTAAAAATATTTTGATAAGTATATGTATGAAATGGGTTATGGTATATTTAATTTGAGTCAAAAATATATAATAGAAATTTTTAAAAAGTATATATTTTTTAACTTTTCTTAAAGGTAATTAGATTGATCAAATTTCCTTTTGTCAGCAGAGTCTTAACATCAGTACTCCTGTAATACAGAATTAGTAAATCTTTTTACAAATCTTCATATCTTGGGTGCACAACATTATAATTAGCAACTTTTTTTTAGATTCTGACATAGCAACACAAAATCTGTCAAAATAACTAAAAAACAAGAGAGACATTTTTATTAGTAAATGTCATATTTTTTCATTAGGATAGTATCATTAGTGAGGCCAAGCAAGTTATTAGCACAGATATTATTAAAGATTCCAAAACAGACCTTTGAGGAACACAACAAGTTAGATTTTACTAATTAGATAATTGATCATTGCTTGCTGCTCTGCACCCTAAGTTAATTGTATATTCACTTATTAATATTTTAAGTTCCATAAGCATTCTACTTGCTAATTAATTTCTTGTAAGGCATCTTATCAAATGCTTTCTGAAAGTCAGCATTAATATGGGGATTTTCATCTGGTGAAAAAAAAAAAGGGTTCCTTTCAAATACTTCATCAAGTTCATTAGGCAAAAAAAACTCTCTTCATAAACTATGTTAAAAATACTTACTTAATTGCCAACTTTCGAATTATTTGTCTAAATGACTTCTTTTATCAGACTTCAAAACATGGATAAATTAATTCAAGAAATAGAACTATTTTTGAGTTCCATATTAGATTAGCTTATTTTATTTTTTCAAACCAGAATAAAGGTATGGCATCATGCTCATTTTATACAACAAGAGCAACTCATTAGTTTCATCATATCTTTTAATGGCTGTTCAAAATCTGATATGCAAATGCAAAATTTGTGTTGTGATACATGTTTGTATAGGTAAACTTATGTTCTTAAATTTATTCACTTATTTTAACAGTTCTGAAGTTGTTGGTTCTTGATTATAGTAGCATATCTGGTATGTATTTTATCTTTCTTTAGCAAGCTGAATATACAAAGGATGTTTGGAGTCATTGTGAGTCGTGGATTGTGCTGCAAAATTGAAAAGAGTCTACAAGTTAATATACGTTATTTTAATACAAATTTTGGCAGTCTCTCCCATTTTTGTGTAGCCAGTCAAAAGACTTTATTGGTAAGGGTATTTAATAAACATTTTGTTCTGACATATTAAAATAAATCTGTACTTACCGTCATAGCAAGTATGTAATATTTTATGCACAATGAAATTAGTAATAATGTTGTTTTTCTGAATAGTTGAAAGACTTTGTTGTGGGTGTCAATGTAAGTGACATTAATGCAGGAACATTATTCATCCAGTGGTACTTAAAGCATTAGTTTGTGAATAGTAAACATTATATATCACACCTTTGTACAGCATGTGAAGTGCTCTATTTCAGGTAATAGCAGCATATAGATCGTAAACACAGAAGCAATGACCTTCCTTAAAGTTATTGAAGTTAAAGTTGTTCATAATAGAAATGTCATCATTCTCGATAATATCTAATATATTGAAGTTGATTAATTCACAAGTACAGTGTATTTACCTTGGATTGTAAAGGTAAAATCTTGTAAACTGTTAATTCAATTTTTTATCTATTCAATAAATATTTTTTTATGGGAATTTAAAACTACTAACTTTTTACAGGCTTACAAAAAATTGCTGAAGTTGCTTTGTATGACAACAGTGTATTTCTGTACAACTTAAACAGTTCAGATTATATATATATATTAATTCTTATAAATTTTTTGGCATAATCTTGTAGACCTTGTATAGTAAAAGGACTATAAGGTATTCTAGAAATAGGCTTAATGCAGTTTAAAAACTAACTTGCCAAATCTGAAGTCAAACTTTTATAACATGATGATCCTGTTCATTTTATACATAATGAATGTTGTGTCAAATATACCAAATACCGATTTTTATCAAAAAGAAACTTATTAGAATGTTGACATAAAGTTAAAAAAGGTGAGAAAATGTAGTTTCATCAGTCTTAGATTCTAAAGCTTGTTCTATCACTTGGTTCGAGTTACTCATGAAGTATGCTGATAGAAATTATGCCATTAAAAGAAAAACTACCATGTGTGCAGAAAAACTGTTGCAACATTTACATGACTATATTGAGAATCAAATAATTAAAGAATTATAAATGAATTTGACTTATTTTTATATGAAAAAGTACAGATGTACATTAACCAATTCACTGCCACATTTATAGATAAACATCTTTTCCATTTCCTCTTTTTTGTTGTTTTTTATACATATTTAAATATAAATATTTCATTACTTATCTGAAATTTCAAAGTAGTAAAGTTTGGGAAATTTCAATTGGAAATCACTTTCTTCTTGATGGAAAAAAATCCAAAATCACACTTGTCAAGGCTAAAACAAAGGTTATATAGCATTTCCTTTACATTTCCCATGGCAAAGCTCATCCACCCTGTTTGAGGCTTTATAATAAAACAAAATTAGGCTGTTATGGCAAAAATTAAACTAATATTAGATTTTAGGCAAAAGTAACCCTACATCCCTCTGTCTTGATCGTGCCTGTATACAATTAGTGACAAATATCTTTGACAAAAGTCAAATAAATAATGTCAATTTGCTGTCAGTAACTTGATTCCCACCTTCCATGGTCACGATAGGTAGTTTATATAGTGCCTAGCCAAATCCACATATAACAATATTTTTGAGTTGATACCTCACCTCTTCACACACAGTAGCTATATCCCTCTCACATCTGCCTACAATGATTTCATTCCACTAGCTTTGAGCTAACTTCCACCTACAATTTATGTGTTTAACTTGGACTGTGATGGTGCATGATGACATCATAATGTGAAAAAAGGCCTCCACGAATAGGAGAGCAACACAACCTTCTTGTGCAGTATCTCCTCTTAAGCACTTGCACTCATAATAACTTTATTCTTTTCCTCTGCATTACACTGAACAGACGTGTTAATCTTTATTTGCATTTAGGTTCAATTTACTGAGATTTGTGTTTATCAACAAAACTTGGGTTTTTGTTCTGCCTTTGCTTTGCTTCAAAAGTATTATTTAACATTATGAATTCTGAAATGATGGTGACATGTAATTTGACCTGTGAAAGTACCTGAGTTACAAACACAGAACCTATTTCTACCATGGCTTCTGGAGGTTCATTGACTGTTGAGGATGTTACAGTCATTGTACAGCATGTTGCGAGTTCCTTCATGCATACTGGGTTTTCTTTTCCTGCCCCTTTGGCCAGTGCCTTTTCCCCTTAGTTTGTGAATGACCAGGAGAACAGCAAAGTTAACCAAGTGTTCCCCTCACCAGGATTTGCTTTAAATACCACCTTGCTGGTCAGGGAAAATCCTTAACCTTTAAATATCTTTCTGGATGTGATTTCTCAAGTATGTTTCTTTCATTATCTTTAGCCTGTGCCTTATGATTCTTCCTGTTCTTTACTCCATATAACTAATTTTGTCTTTCTTTCTTCACTTAATATTAGGATTCATGCTGTTTTCTCTCTTGAAGAACTCCACTAGCATATCCACATGCCTTGTCCCACTCACATTTATGATTTTTGTTGTGACTTCCAGCCACTCTTTTCGTTTCTAGATTTCCAATATTTGGAATCTATTTTGTCTGCTTGGGGAACAGACTCCTTGTCTTCTATTTTGCTCTCTAGTTCCCTATTTTCCCTTCTTTGGCTTTTTTTCTCACCATCCTCCTATGTTCCCTCTCCTCCCTCCACATTTGATCTAAGGCACTTCTTCGTGCTGCTGCGGGGTTTTCTGGAAATGTTCATTCCCTTCTGTTTACCATATTTGCCTATACCACTTCTTCTACTCTGTCCCTCCTTTCTTGATTCTTCTGCTGATGGAACTTGTTAGGTTAGGATGTGCTCCTCACTAATGTTCACTTGTTTTCCTTCATCTCTCCATGATCTTAGTCAGGTTCCCTTTCTTTGTCCAGAAGTCTTTGGTGATGTTCATGTTTCATTGGAGACCTGAACTAAAGTGGCTCCACATCAGTCTTTGTTATCTTCTTTGGTTTTTCATCTTTCTCAATCTCACTCTTTGACTTTTGTTTCTTGGCCAGATCAGTCTACAACTACCATTCCAATTCCAGCTTCTAGGCCTTCCTCTTTTTCCCATCCTCCCACTACCAGATGTTAGGTTTGTTGCTCATCTCATCAGTAACTATCCTGTCAGCTCAGTACCTGTAGGTGCCTTTATGTTTCACTTTGCAAGCCTCTGGTCTCAGATGTTTTACTAACAGATGGGCTCCTCATGTTTTTACCCACAATCTCTCTCTCTCTCTCCATTTCTCTTTTCTTCCTCATTTCTCTTCTGTCTGACCCTGTTTATCTTCAGTGTTTCATGGTTTCATTCTAGATTATTTTGGCTAGACACACCATTGAGAGGATATACACCCCTTCCCTGGTTTTTTTTTACTCTCATCTCTTGGTTGTCTGCAAGTAGACCTGGGCCTGGCATCTGGTTCTCAACCTCACATCCTCCACTGGTCTTTTTCACTCAGTCTGTGAGTGACTAGGTTTTCACCTGCCAGCTATGGAATGTTTGTCTCCATGGTTTGCACTTCTCATTTAATACTATGGGTGATGTTCTTTCACTTTTGGGGTCTCTGGCTACCCAGGAACTGCTCATTCCTTTGGGGCATGCACACATATACATCCTCCAGTGAACTTGATGAGACCATTGGAATCTTTCTTGGGTTCTATTGTTCTTGAGTATGAACCTCCCTTCTTCTCTTCTTGAGGACTTGTCTTGATGGCTAGACTTTGCCACTAGAGTTCTATCTCTTCACACTTGCTTTCCTTTCAGGTTGGAGCACATATCTGAACAACACCATGTCGTCTGGTGTTTGAGTAAGGGAAAATTGTTTACTTCACATCATTGTACTCAGAGTTCTTGCTTTTCATCAAACATGCTCCCATTTCCTTCCTCTTCTAGTGGATCAGTTGGTCATGATCCACTTGACTGTTCAATGGTAGTTTTTTATATCACCTGTTGAGGGGGCACCCACTCCAGGACTCTTTCCCATCAAGTTTGTCTTGTCATGTACTGGCAGCTGTTACGTATTACAATGTCAAATAGCCTAAAACTGATTTAAGTTGTAATTTAGACTTAGTAGTTAAATAAATGCTGATACGTATCCAATTTATGATATTTGCCAACAAGATTGATACACACAATTTTCTTTTTTAATACAAATATATTTTAATATACAAACAGTAATACAATTTATAATAACGGTTATTACAAATAGTTATTACACAGAATGATTTATATACAAAAATTTTACAAACTTACGAGCGATATAGTCTTCTTTCTTGTCTGGAACTTCTTTGATATCTTATCGAGGGTTCAAGATGAGCAAGTTTATTTCGAGTTGACATAGGTACAATTCACTTAATAGGGAGCTAGCTAGCTTGGTGGTCTCCCCTGATCACATGGCAATTTTTTCCACCAATGAAGTTAGGTAATGTTTTTGTAAAAGTACTAATGTCTGATGTGAATCCACTGAAGTTAAATGGTTTGTAATGTTCAAAATTTATAAATGTTCGTGGTCAATTATCTGAAGTGTCCCGATTAATAAGCATTATAACTATCACAGTTATAGCTTCCGAAGTTTATAGTATACCAACTATAGCAAATCAGTAATAGATACTATTTTTAGGTTATATTTATAGTTGTGTGGAGAATTTCTCAAAACTTAAGGTTACGCAACAATACAAATGCTACACTAGCATTTACATACACATGTATATTGTTCATTTTTACACTCGAGAATCTTCTAAAAGTTTAGAGAATAGGTTGGAATTTCGCAATACAGATTTAACAGTATAAGTTATCTACATTTCAAAATATAAGTTTAATTTAAACAAACATCAATATGAAAATAAACACATAATTGCAAATCTGTCACACAGTTTTATTTCTGGTGTTGGATTGGCTAACTCTGCTGGACCACATTCTGCCTGTGGTTTAGTCCCTCCAACCCTGGATTTTTCATTGGCTTTGCCTCTCCTCTTAACTCCAGGTTCCTAATCCTTTGGCTCCAACTGTCAATGCTCTCACCCTTTGCTGTATGATTATCCTCCTCTTTGCCTCCTCACCCTGATACACAACACTCCTTGTTGGATCATATTGGTGACACCTTTTTGGCCAGCTCAGCCCTGGTTTTCTCAACTTCTATGATTGAAATCTAACTCTCCCTTCTTTACCCATTGTCCCCTCTCTATTGCTTCCACCTCACATTCCTTTTTCATCCAAGGGTACCAGCCCTTACTCTCAACTTGTGGGGTTTGTCTGGTTCATTACCCTTAGGGCTGTACTCTTAGTTTGTGTAGCTTTCTTATCTCATTCCTGTTGTTCTTCCACTTTGGCTATCAACAGAATTGGCAGGTTTTTCATCATTGGTCCATCAATTCTACTGTGACACACCTTTCTGCCATTTTCACTTGGTTGTTTGACCATGGTTTGTCAGCCTCCAGCTTTGCTGGGTTTCAGAAAGTCTTCCACTATGTTTTGCATTACCATATGGTTTTCTTTCCTTGTCTTCTCCACTCTGTTCTTTCCCAACTCCGGTACCTCAATGACACTTTAATGAGGTGTTGTATGCTCTCATATATGCCCTGTTTGAGCTGTTGGCTTCTTACTCTTTATACCACTTTTCTCTTATTGCTTAACTCCTCCTCCTTTGTGCATGAAAGTGCCATCATTCAGTTATCTATGCTCTTTATGCTTCTTGCATTCTATTCCATTGCACTTACTTACTTCTATCCATATCATTTCTTACTTTCAATGACTTTGGCTGCTCAGAAGGGGGACCATTCCATTCCTTCTATCTTCCTTCCTTCTGTCTCTCACTTTTTTGCTTGTTCAGACTACAATTGGCTCCTATGTCATGTTTGGGCTGTTCAGAGTTACTTGTCACAAACTTCTCCCTTTTGGGGTTCTAACCACCATCTGTTTCTATCCTGGAGCCCCCTCCTCATCCATGGACCTCTCACCTTCACCCTTAACAGAAGGGTCCATCAACTCCTCTAGATGGTGTATTCTTCCCTGTATGTTGATGCTCACAGTCTCCTTCATATTTTTTAGCATTAGATTTGTCACCTGTCTCATTCTCTTGCTTCTCATTTTCACCAGCCCTTGAACAAGATCTTCCAGGCAGGCATGTAGACAACTCCCCACACATTTTTTGCTCATTATATTCATCATCTGGCAGTTTTGTATCCCTTCAATTGATTCACCATCTTTAAGATGTGTGCATTTTCTTTTTCTGCCTCTTTCCATCTACCAGGATCCCACCAGGTGGCTGTTGTTACCTCCCAGGTTATGTGTATTTCCCAAAATCTGCATCTGGCCAGAGGTAACAGAAATCACTTAAACCATCTGCCCTGGCTCTAACAGTACCTACTGTTAAGATAAGACCATAAGACCACTAGAGATATCCTCGTAGAATGCACAATTACTCAGTTGCCAAATCTAGACTGTATCATTCCATGGGCTATCATGACAAAGCCAGCACCAGGAAAGTGACTGCCTACTTCTTTCACTCATGCTTGCCAGCTTTTAAAAGTAAAGATTTGTAGCACCCATTGCACTGTCTCCAGTAAAAGACATGAATTCTCCCACCCCCCTCTCTTTAGGTGGAGTACAGGAGACCTTGCCACTAGTAGTGGTGGACCTTGATGAGTTCAAACAGCTAGTCTGCCCTCCTGCAGCCTGAGTCTTTTCAGTTGAGTTAATGTGAGCACACCCTTTTGGTCTGATTGCACCTTAACCACACTACACACACGTATTGGCTCACTGACTGCTTGTGTGCAAGTCTTGGATGGTCATATTCTCATTCCACCATCCCTGTGACACTTGGGGCTCAGTTGCCTCTCCCCCTTTATGTTCTGAGCAAAGAGTATACCCTGGTTGAGACAAGATGTAGTCTCCCACGGATGTGCTTCTGTGGAGCCCTTACAACTGGATGTCACTCCAGGTGTTTTTGGAATTTGTTTTGAATATGTATGCTTAAAGAATGTTTCTGCACACATGTTGCCCTCTTATTGTTGGAGGGTATTTGTCACATGATGATGTCATCAGGCACCAAAGCAGTTCACATTAAACATGCAAATTTTAGGTGGGAGTTAGCTCAAGGCTAATGACATGCAAATCTAATAGGTAGATGCACGAGGGATATAATTATTCTGTGTGAAGAAGTGAGGATCTATTATAAATACATTTTCAGATTAGGAAAATGTAAACCTTCAAATCCTAATGCTTGGTGTGCTTTACATTATGATGTCTCCTGTCATTATTGATGGTCTTCTGATCTTCTTCCCCTTCAACAAATTTATGATTTCAGGAAAATCCATAAATTCACCACCAAATTACAAGTACAAAAAGAAAATAGTCAAATGTGGAGGTATTTTTGTTCATCCACTAAACATGAAGATTTCATTTATCTGTGCTTCCATGGAACTTACGAACGCAAGTAAACTTTTCATCCCCCCCCCCCTGTATGCCGCAACAGCCTGTACAGTATCTTCCTACAAAATGTCAATCTTTTTATCACAACTTTGGAAATTAAAGAAGCCCTAGAAGATGATCTATCTACTCACATCCATAGTGCATACAGGTTTATGTCCAGTAAAATTGGAAGGCTTACCTTTTATCAAAGTAGTGGTAAACTCTCATGAACTAGCATATTGAATACTCCAGTGTGGCTGTTTCTTCAAATACTTCCACTTCAAGGCCAAGATACCATATGCAAAAAACAACATCAAACCTCCAAAAACTGTACCTTTCATTACAGTTCAGATCGTCGTTCCTTCACCAAGACTGTACCCTAAACCCAGTATCCAGATCAACTAAACCAGATTCTCACTGCAGACTAACAAACTCAAATTCCATCTAAAATATGTAACATAAAATCACAAGACAAGCCTCTATATCTGACCATCAGGTCCAGACAACCACTGAAACTCCATCCAACTTAGCCAGAGAGTACAATAATGAACACCATAGACTGTCTGTAACTGGCTAGAAATGCCATCCAAATAATTGGCAAAATTCCCAATAACTACACTTCCAGTAAAAGAGTTTGAAGACATTCTCCAGTCTTCCAAACACTAAAGAATTTCCTGACAAACTACCTTGGACATCGCTCCCTCAGCTTTCTCCAGCTCTAGTTCACCATTGGGACAGGATCAACATCTCTGGGTGTAAAATCTAACTCAAAATAATCTACTTTCAATATTAGTTCGTTTCATTTCTAGCATGTGAGAATGAGTGAAGACAGATTCTCTAGTCTCTGACCATCTGTTGGTCCTTCTATACTGTCTTTATTTCATATTTCTTTTTATGTAAACTGTTTTAGAAACAAATTGACCATGAAGCATGAAGTCTGTTGTAATTTAATGTGCAAGTACATAAGTGTGTGTGTATGTATTTTGGTCTTCCTCTTGTAATGAAATGCTTTAATGTTTGTAAAAAACATATGCTACTTTTTTCCTTTCTTAAGAAACATGTTCCATGAATATATGTAAATAGTGGTATTAGTGTTATGTTTGCTAAATAGAATCTCTGTAGAGATTTTTAAGTCAAATTGTAGGTAAAACGTAAAATATAAAATCATTACTGGGGTTTGTGCATGATCTTTATTTGATCTAATCTTTGAAAAGTTAAATCTTATTACCTGTTTGTATAAAGCCAGAAATGTTTATTATTGGTATTATATCGAAAAACATTTGAAATTGTCAGAATTATAAACCACTGATATAAATATTGTTTAGACACCTCTATTAAATGAGTACTCAACAAGATGCTAGAATGTTTTATACAAAAACATTTACTATATAAGGTATTTGATTATATTAAACATTCGTTTTTTCTCTCTCTCTTTCTTTTTTTTTTGTAGGTCCAGTTCAGAAACCAATGGCCAAACCCTTCTTGTTTAATCAACTGGCCTAAGCCACAATCCTCAATCAAACAGTGTTCAATAATATGCAACATTCGTCGTTCATTCTTCACAAAAATGTTTCATAAAGATCCTTTTTATACTGACAAAGTAGACAAATCTCAGTATGATCTTGTGTATATTTCTCCGGCAACTTCCTACATTTTCATGGGTCAGCTTGTGGCCAGCGGTTTAACTACTTTTTTTCTGCTTATTAAAGGATTTGAAATAACAAATTTTGAAACAGCTTTTCTCTTCACCGATTACCTAGAAAATACTACAGAACTGACTATTGCTTGTACTGCATTTGTTCTCTTGAATCTTTCGGTGTTTGCCATCATTCAGAAATACCCAATTAGAATATACTTTAATGAAGAAAAGGAAGAGTTTATAATAATATTGTTTAAAATTCTTCCATTTTTAACCCACAAGATAAAGTGTCAGTCAGGTGATATGGAACATATAAATAGTTCAAGCCACACTCAGTTTACAGGTGGTTATAAATTAGGAAAAAGGAAATTAATAATTACACCTGAATATTTCAAGTATCCTATTTATTACAACATTCTCTTAGGTTATGTTCAAAAGGAAGGTCACAAAGATGATACTTAGACTGTTTCCCTTATGCTGAGAGGTAATTAGATAGTGATACTAATTATTAAATAATGGTTTTTGTCTTTGAGATATTTCAGGAAACTATCGTGTAGTCTTTGAAAAGTAGATTAAATTTAATAAAAGTTTGTTTTCTTTTATTCTGTATGTTGTATATCTGAAATCTAGTTTCAGTATCTAAATGTTAATAGTTTCAGAAGAAATTGTATTGTACCATAGGGGTGTAATTTCTTATAAACTACTGAACTGGCAAAATACATATATGATCTACCTATTTCTCTCAAAAAAATCAATGAAGCTTGAGTAAATTGTATTTGTACAAGATAAATAAGAAAATTGAGAATTTAAAAACCTGCTAATAGGGATCATAAAAAAGTAAGGAAACCTGGCTGAAGATATTGTAGACATGATTTACTTAAAACTACAAACCCCTTATTTTGGGCCCATGCTGTTACCTAGAATTACATTTGGTGGAGTCAAAATAGGGATTTGTAGTTTGAGTACATAATGTCTACAGTATCTCTAGCCGAGTTTTTTACAATCCTTATTTGCAGGTTTTTAAACTTCTAATTTTGTTTGTTTGTTTGTTGACTTTTTTATGCTCAACTATTGGCAAAGGATTAATTGATATGGTAGCTAACTTTATACATTGTTATGATAATAAACATGGCTAGTAACTAGCTGATATGGTTCATGATGATTTACTATATGATCGCATTAGTTCAAGGTGTAAAATGTTAAGCTGCAGCTGGAGATTTTCATGGAGATTTCTTTGAGAATATAATGATCATTTATAGTTTCTGTGTAACTAAATTCTCTGTATATAATGCACAGCAATGGGCAAATAGACTAAGACACACAACCCCCAAAAAAGTTTATATAAAATTTTACCAGTAGAAAAGCAGCATTTTCAAATAGAACATATACATCTAAAACATTGCTCTAAATAAACCTTCATGTATTTTAAAGTAATTATCCTACAAATGTGTATTATAAAATTTAATATTTTGTGTATTTATTTATTTTATTTTTTTACTTCTACACTTCATACATAATATGGGGTTGGCTCCCTAAAGACACTAATTGTATAGTGTACAAAGTTGAGTATGTACATGTTAAAGTCATCAAATATTAATCCATTATTGGCTGGTAATTCCTGTTTCACCCTATACTTAAGCTATTTAAAGGAACATGAGATATTTGTAAGAAAGCTCACTTCAAGGGTTAGTGATAACACCGTTTACACTAGAATTATGATGTTTTTTATCTTATGTAAGATATAGAAGAAACAAATCGAATTTTGAATACCCCAACGACCTTCGCAATACCTTGTTTAGTATTCTACAAAGGGTTTGGGTGCAATATACCAAGCTGTTTTTGTTGTAGGCTGGCAAGAGAATAATAATAATAATTACAAATGGGCCATTTGAGTGGATTTTCTTTACCTTTAAAGTCTAACATGCATACTTTTTTTGTGCATTTTTATATATGTACAGCCTTAGAAGTCTATAGTAAAGGTTTTAAAGTGTTGTTTGACCTGAATCTCTACTGTTTAAGGTGCTTTTTTGCCCAAATGTTCTATTAGGGTTTTATGAAATTTCTTGTGATCCCTATTATGAACCACTGGCGTGATTCATGATATTCTTAACCTCAAAATATTTTTCATGTAATTTTTTTTCCATATTTAGATATTAACCATACTTTAACAACCAAGTTAATTTTAAAGGTCTTTACTTTCAAATATTGATCATTATTCAAAGACTTACTTCTTTTGAAGAATAGTGGAGTGAAGTCAGCAAGTAAATACAGAATGCCATTCCACTAACAAATTATGAACACGTAAAATACTGAGTCTGACATGAATGATTTTATTATTTTCTATTTAAAACTCTACCTGATGTGTTATCCAAAAAGATAAATTCCTTTGTTAGGTCAACTTCAGGTACAATAATGTTCATTATGTATTCAGTGAGATAGTTTTTACCAATTCTCATAAAAATAAGACAACACATTGGGATTTCATATCAAATTATTCAGATACCAATTCATATTCCATACTAGTTTTCAATCAATCAGATTTTCAGTTTTTTTGTTAGAGGGCTTTTTCACTACTGATAATTAATCAGCAGATAGTGCTTGTATGTTCCATAAATGAGTTATACTCTTATTATTTCTTTAATGTTACTTTTGCAGTATATTCAGCTCAAACTGATTTTCCTTAGTGTAATGGAATAGATCCACAGAATAACAGGAGATTCAACAAGATATCTGTTACAGTTGTTGTTTAAGACTCACGATGTAAGTAAATTAATATGTAGAATTATACATGGACTTTTTTTTTTCTACGTTATATAATTTTATTTGCAAGCTTTCAGCCATCTTATTGGAACCTTCATCAGGCAATTGTTGCCCAATGATGGCTCCAGTAATAGGGCCGAAAGCTCACAAATAAAAGTGTTTTTATGTAGAGAAAATGTCCATGTATAATTCTACATATCTATTACAAGGTAATACTGTGTTTCTTTGAATACCAGAGTTCATGGAAATAAAGAGACTGGACACAGTTTAAAATACAAACACACAATCTTAATTATAAAGTAACACAATGTATGTACTTCTTTTGGATGGACTGTCATGTGTATTGGATGGAAACTATTTCTCTCAAAGTGATGAAGCTGAGATCATCAACCAGATTGTTTTAACTCCACTGTTTCTTACATCATAGGTAAAATTGAATTCATCCAGATTAACTAGTGTTAATTCTCATTCAAGCTTAGGGAAGGCCATAACCTTGAGATAAACCATCTGATGTACCATTAAAGGAAACTGTTGTCGATATTATTGAACAACGTGCAGTATGCCACCCGTGGGAAGAACAGGTGTGACCTCAATAAAATAAAGAACAAGAGCAGCTAGAACAGCACCGACTTAGTGACTTTTTTGCCAACATTTTTATGTGAAAACTGCACATACTCAGCAGTAATTGATAAATGTAGAACAATACTATATTAATATACAAAGGTAGAAAATGCTTGTATTGTTTATGTACTACACTTTTATTAATAGTATTGGTTAGAATATTTAATATATCTAGTTTCAAGGGTTTTTTATTGTACAGATTTATTTTGCATTGTTAGCTTATTACATGCATTTAGGACTAACCTAAATCTCCTAAGATGGCCTACATATTGTTAACAGCAAAGGTACCCAGCTGACATAACAATGCATTCTAATCTTTATAAGTAAGAACAGCATATTTAATTAACTATACTCATTACCAGGTTTATTTTTAATTTTGCTGTAAGGTCTGATGGGAAGTTAACATTGTTTAATGTTTTTTCTTGTTGGGCAGGTCCCTATGGATTATTTGGTAAAAATAATTCCAAGTCCAGTTCATGTACAGATTTAAAAAATTAATTTTTAAAGTGATATTTGCTACAGCTACGTTTACGTGTAGGCCTAATTTCGTAAACATACTTTTGGACAAAAAATCCAAAACTAATATAGGCCTAATTTCAAGTACACTGCTTCAACAGAAATTTCAAGATTAGTGGTACTTATACCTAACTTACTGAGTTTAGATCGTTAAAAAACATGATAACTCAGTAGCAGGATAGACACAAAAAATCTCAGTTTCAACAGCAAATAACTTCTGACACTAAACTGACTCAATAATAAATAGTTACTCATATTTATAACATACCCATGTTTCTACATATTATGCAAAACTTCTGGATTCTTAATATTTGTGAACTTTCTAGATCTTAATGTCATATGCTTTCTAGTAAATATCTACATTAAAACATTCAAAATATGGCTTAAGAAATATCAATATATAAGGTATTTAAACTTGTCCATGTTAACTATTTAATGTCATCACATAAAGTTAGAGATATCTGTTATTCAGTTTATTGTATATTTTGTTGAATAAAATATCAGTTATATGACAAAATTTGAAAAAATTTTAAAATTGTTTGGCTTTATTAATTTTTTCCATATGTAATAAATTTTGGTGAAGTTTTGTTTTCTGATTAAGTAGAATTTTTCTGTTATCTTTTTATTATTTTAATTAGCTGTTTGATTTTAAATTATGTGGTTACCACTTCTTTTTTTCTGCTTTATTTGGCAAATAACTAAGGGGTACTCACATTATTTTAGAAATGTTCATTTATATACATGTCTTAAATAACAATGGACGGTTGGATTAAGTGAATGCTAAACTTTCTTCCATTGAAACTATTTTTGAAATAGTGATGAAATTTAATTCAAATGGAAAATGATTTTTTTTTTAAAGCTGCAACTGACATATAAGATAATCTAACTAGCTCAGAGCTACCTCAACATGTTTACTAATTTAGGATAATGTGGTAACAAAGGTGTAATATGACTTATGAAAAAAATTAATATCTTGCTTCAAAATGGTTTTTAGAAAATTTTTATATGAACGTGTTATTTAATCATTTTCTTAAAACTTATTAACAATTTATTTTCCAGAGCTAAGACTTTTCCATATGTCATAATTTTTTAGCACTTATTTATTATTGCACAAGAAAAAAGCTTGGCCTTTTTTCTGTCAAATTACCTGTTGTTATTGAGTTATCATCATAAATGAATGATAAAAATAAAACATATCCTGAGCACCTACCAGTGGCTCAGCGGGGGGAGTCTGGGAGCTTATAATGTCAAAATTGGGTTTTGGTACTTGTGGTGGGTTCAGCACAGATAGCCCATTGCATAGCTTTGTACTTAACAAAAAACAAGCATACCATAACCCAGGCATTTTAGAAAGGTAGATTTTTATTCATCAAGGGAACCTACTTATTTTTCCTGATATTATTCATAAATGAATGATTTTTTCTCACAAAAAATATTTTAAGCATACCTTGGGCAGGTGTATATGCTACCTTTTTTTTTACCATTTAAGAATAGAGATCTTAAACAGAACATTTGTTTTTAATTTTGTGGGACATAATAATGCAAAAATTATGTTTTTGTTCAAAATTTGTTATTTATATTACATGTTAATTATGTAACTATTATTTTTATCAAAGTATCCTAATTTAGGTAATGTTAATAATAATCTTCATATTAAGTTTGGTGGCCTTAATTCATATTATGATTGTTGCTCAAACAAATATGATCAGTGCTATACATTTCAATGTATTGAATTCACTAATGTGTTTATATAAAATCAAAATTCAAATTGATTTCAGGTAATTAGCATGATAACATGACCCTTTTAAACATATGTTAACTATTTCTTTCAGACATTAATAAATAGTGTAAAATCCTTATTTATGAAAAACAAATTTGTATTTTGTTGACAGTTGGCAAGAATATATCTTCACATAAATGAGAGAATGACAGGTAATTGTTTTAATAATGAAATTTTTTGTGTAAGCCAATGAACATATACTTTAAAACAACTGACATCTGCAGAGAAAAGTTATAAATTAAAACCTTGTGTACACTAAGAAATATTTGTGTACGTACTATTATTCAATGTGGCCATAAATGATCAAACATAGACATGAATTACAAGAAGGACACCCATCACCATTCTCTTCCATTTTGAAATCAAATCCACGTCCCTGTAATCACAGCTGATGGCTCAAAATCCTCATGTTCCTTTATTATTTTACACTGGTGAAACTTAATTCAGAACTGTGTTTGTGTGTGTAAAATGTTTATATAAAAAGAGTATGTTTGCTGGACTTCCCATCAGAAGGCTTAACTAAGATTCAAATTGCAATGCTGCTGAACACTGTTTGCACTTTTAGCTGTTGGTGCTTTTTACACATGACTGTTAATTCTGTTATTCTATTCAGAAGTAAGATTAATTAGCCTATAATTACTTGGACACTGCTTGTCACCTCCCTTAAAAATAGGGGTAACATTATCCAGCATCCAGTCTTCTGGGATCTGCTCACTCACTACCCAAGTACTCACAAGAAATTTTAGTAAGTGGTTTACTTATGCAATCCTTAACCTATTTTAATATCCGTGGAAAAATATTATCTGTCCCTGGAGCCTTTCCATGTTTTCAGTTTCATAATTAAGATTAAGTTTTGGCACAACTGTTATATTTGCCACAATCAACTTCTTATGATCTAGAATACTGCTTACATCTTCTCTTGTGAAAACTGAAGCATATGAAAACTCTAGCAACTCAACCACCCCACAGTCTTCCATATTAGTTTTAACATTTTCAGCTAACCTTTTTCCATTTTTCGTTTTCTAATATCTGTTTTAACCAAGTCATGATTTTTATAATTTTCCAAGTCTTTGTAGTTAACTTAAACATTTTTAATGTTTATCATTATTTTTTTTTTCTAATGCTTTTAGATAAACCACCCTGTCTGCTACTTGTAGCCACTGTTTTTTGTTGTTTTTTTCTTCTTTGGAACATACTTATCTTGAATATTTGACTTATTTTTAAAAACCTCCCACATCAGTCAAGCATCTCAATTTTATGCATTATCCCACTCTATCAGTATCATTTCCTGTGTCATATCCTCAAAATTGGCATTCCCCATGTGTACCTAGATGCTCCCCCGATCCCAAGATCTCAACCTTATTCACATTGGAGGGTACTAATAGTTTAGAATTGCCCTTAGAGATGAGGTGATACCTCTTGCAAATGTGTCTGTCCCTACCATATTTAAGTGTAACTCATCCAAGCAAAAAGTCTTCTTATTTCCAGAAAACTCATCCCAGAAATCCATCCAACTTATCTGCTCATTTATACACAATGACTTAAACCTACTGTTCAACCCCAGAGACCTACGTAGAATCTTGCTGCCACAGTTAATGCATGATAATACTCTTTACAAAATCAGTTTGTCCCCTGGTGAGTAAACAGTAAGTTTCCAGATTACAATGCTAAAATCTAGGGTTTGATTCCCTGCAGTAGATAGCCCAATGAGGCTTTGCTCTTAAAAAAATAAATCAGTTTGTACCCTTTATTTTTAAATGCCTTTATCAGGCTTCTGTACTTCTCAATTAAATCTTCCAACTTGCCCTTCCCTAAAACTTAACTCCTACGTGCTCTACCAACTTCATAACCTCGCTAATGCCCTTAGTTATCTCACTCTCTGTGAGTTATGTCCCCTGCCCCTGATAACATTACTTTCTTCCCGTTCACCTCACAGACTACCCTATCCAGAAGCTGTATCAAAGAATAATTTATAACCTAACCTTAACTTTTGCATTACTATATCTATATGTCCCTTTTGTTTTACTGGTTTTCCTAGTTCCTCATCTGCACAAGATAGAGGCTGAAATTAGCAACTTAAATTAACCTCCTCTTCCCAATTACTTTCACATCTTTTAGCCATGTTACTGTTTTTAATGCCCCCAATGACTCAGTGGCAAGTCTGAAGGCCTATAACACTAAAAACCAGGTTTCAATACCTATGATGGGAACAACACAGTAGCCCATTGTGTAGCTTTGCACTTAACAACGCAAAGAATACTATATTAATTTCTTGAAAGTAATCTAAAGGTACAGTATTCTTTGCATGTAAAAGCTTGAGTTCCTCTTTAATTCGTGCTGCCATTTTCCACAATTTACAATTCTCTTTCTTTATCTCCTCTATTCTATTTAAGAGAGCCTCTGTTTTCTCCTCCTACCAGGAAACTACAAACAAATTGCACATATTCACTACTATCTTCCAAAAAAGTACATGCCAATCCTGAGTTTTCAAATAAAATTAACATTAAAAATTGTTTGTACCACTTTTTATCCTCTAATAATTTAGTGTGTTTTATTGTTTTTTTAAGTGACTAGCATTAGTTTGAAAATACTAATAATGTATGTTTTAATGTGTCAAATCTGTCTGCAAGTTTTGGAAATGTTTCAAGAGAAAAGTTCCAGATTGTAGAATTTTCATATTGTTACGTCTCTGGTCGTTAATTAATTTTCCGTAAATTCGTTCCGACAAAACTTTAGCGACACAAGTCCTTTCTTAAATAAAACTGGTTTATTCTTTCTGAATATAACTTCGCGATACACTTAATTTCAACAGTCGCGCTATAACAAATTCTCAACGAACGTCTCACGTGCTTAACAATGTTCTCTCTCCGCAGTTCAATTACACGTTGTGACCGTCTTATATATT